TTCATGAGTTATTTAGGTTTAAGTACCTTACATTTATGCTTGTTTTTATTTAAGTCATTGTTTTAATTTTTAATTAGTATGTTTAATTCTACATATATTTAAATTTAGTCCTTATTTTAACATGTATATATACATTTTTTAAATTTATAGTTTAGCATGTTAAGATTTTGTTTTTATATTTAGGTCACATGTGTTCATAATATGTCAAATATGCATAATTTATGATTTTTAATTAAAACATATGTATATAATTTTTGCATGTCACATTGTATGATATTTGTAATTTTATTTAATTAATTTTTGGCATGACATACGTTTTGCACAATTTGTATGATATCTTCATTTGCATAACTCGACATATTACATAATCGGACTAAAGGGTAATACACTTTTAATTTAAAATTGTCCTTAGTGGCCTGTCTTAACTGATTAGAAAGTCGTTTTGACGATTTTAAATTAAAAGTGTATCCCGAAAGTGAAACAAAAAAATTGATTCGTCACCTAAAATTTGGGAACGAAAGAAAAGGAAGTGTTCGTTTATTTAAATTTATCGAGAAAAGGTTGTTATAGCTTTTAAGATTTGATCTCGATATTTGTAAATAATCGAACACTCTTTATCTTTCTAAAATGATTCGATAATGTTAATTTAATTTATTTGAGTGCTTTTGAATATTGTAAAATTCACTTTTTTGTTGTTTTACGGGATCAAAAATCAAATTAAATTCGAATTTATAAAGTTCATTGCAAAGACGTTAATTAATCGATTAGATACCGACTCCCGAACTCATTTTTTTGGTAACGCAGACCTCAATTTGTTATTTTAATTAAAATTAATTTTTATTTAAAATTACAAAGCATTTTTGGGTGTCCAATCACACCCTAATCAAAGATTGGTGGCGACTCTTCAAACCGTATTTTTCGATCGTAAAGGAAATATAAAATTTTTCGAAACGATAGGTCTTTTAAATCACAGTTGTTTTTTAAATTAAAAAAGAGATAATTAAGAATAAATGTGGTTTTTAAAATCTCACCTTTAAGGAAAAATCGTTTCGACAAGAAGAATTTAGAAGGAGATTAAAACGACAAAAAAGAATTCGGAGGAAACCTCACCTGTCTTTGCAGTAATAGCTTTCGTGCTTTCGTTGAAAGGAGGGAACGTCTTCAACAGTCAAAGGTAACACTCTTATAGTCCCTCGATTAGGAGTATTTGGGTTTGTAGAATTGTTGTGGTCATTTGAGAGTGGTAAGTCCCAAAAAGGTTGTGATTTAATGGTGTCGGTGATAAGAGTGAGGTGTTTGGGATCGATTGAGTTAGGTTTAGATGGTTGTGGTCGTTGTTAGTAGTGGTTGGAGATTGGACTGGTACGTTATTTTCCGATCAGCGGTCGCGTAGGTAGTGGTCTTGAGCTTTGGAACTCTCGAACGAAGGAAAAAATGAAAGAGTAGAGAGTGGCGTCGAAGGAGAAGAGCGGTTGAGTGTTTTCTGCGTAGGTTAGTGTCCATGTAGGTTAGTTTACATTTACGTTTCATATTAACTTTTTGGGTAAATTAGTATTTAGTCCTCATAGGTTTAGCTTTTATTTATACTTTAATCACCTTTAGGACTACTTTCGAAATCGGGGTTCCTTTTGTCCAAATATTGTTATTTTCCAAATTAGTTTCCCTATTTATTATTTCGGTATATTCTGCTCACACTCCTCCTATTTAGTTATTTTTACTTTTTAATCCTCTGTTTGTTAATGGAAAAATTATAACCTTGGTGCTTGGAATGTTATTACTTTTGTATCAAGACTCAATGCTTGTACAGTTTGTTATTTTAGCATCAGATTTACATTCCCATTTTAATTTGGACACATGTCTTTAAGTTCTTTTAATTTTTTTATCACTTCTACAATAGTATATTGTTTACGCCATTTATGTTTTAACCTTAAATCAATTTTTTTTACATTTTAGTTTATGTTTAAGTTTTTATGCGTATACATGTATAGTTAATTAGGGTTGTTTTCGAATGTATGCTTCATATGTTTGAATGATGATTATATGTATGCATGTACACACAAGTGGTTTATTAATTAGATAAAAAAATTCATATATATTAATTTGTATGATATCATAATGTGCATAACTCGACCTATTACATAATCAGACTAAGGGTAATACCCTTTTAATTTAAAACTGTCTTGAGTGGCCTGTCTGAACTGATTAGAGGGCCGTTATGACCATTTTAAGTTAAAAGCGTATCCCTGAAGTGAAACAAAAAAAATTGATTCGTCACTTAAAATTTGAGAACGAAAGAAAAGGAAATGTTCGTTTATTTAAATTTATCGAGAAAATGTTGTTATAGCTTTTAAGATCTGATCTCGATATTTGTAAATAATCGAACATTCTTTATCTTTCTAAAACGACTTGGTAATTTTAATTTAATTTATTTGAGTGCATTTGAATATTGTAAAATTCATATTTGTTGTTTTATAGGATTAAAAGTCAAATTAAGTTTGAATTTGTAAAGTTCATTGCAAAGACGTTAATTAATCGACTAGGTACCGATTTAGGACATTGTGGGGGTGCTAATCCTTCCCTGCACGTAACCGACTCACGAATTCGGATTTTGGTAACGCAGACCTTAATTTATTATTTTAATTAAAATTAATTTTTATTTAAAATAACAAACATTTTCTGGTGCCCAATCCCACCCTAATCAAAGATTTGTGACGACTCTCTGAACCGTATATTTTCGATCGTAAAGGAAATCTAATTTTTTTTTGAAACGAGAGATTTTTAAATCACATTTGTTTTTAAATTAAAAATCAATTGAAAGAGATAATTCAAAAATTGATGTGGTTTTCAAAATCTCACATTTTCACTTTAAAGAGAAAATTCGTTTCGACAATCAGCTATCATGCAAAACTGATCAAAGATAACGTAACATGATCCCATATATAGACTCACAAGAATCAAACCCAAATTGCATACGAACAAGAAACTAGCATTAGAAGTCTATAGAGCAAAGAAAATAGTAAAAGAAGCATTTAAGTAATCTACTGCGAGAAATTGAAAACATAATAGGAGCACATAAACAAAAATAAAAGATAAATTCTCTGATTTAATGGCTTTAATTCACAATATCACTCTTTCACATGAGGGTTCAGATGGGTTGGTCTGGAGAGGGAATGGGGAAGGAGTATATACTGTCAATTTGAGTGTGAAGTCATGTTGTCCTGCAAATACAGAAGACTCTTTTTGGATGAAGTACGTTTGGAGGGGATTGGTTCCTCCGAAAGTGAAGGTATTTATGTGGCAAGTGGTGCTTCAGAGATTGCCAGTTAAACTAGAGATACAGAGGAGAGGAGTTTCAACTATTGTTGACGTTATTTTCCCTTTATGTAACAAGGCGGATGAATCCTCAACACATTTATTTTTTACTTGTGTTGTGACGTGGTCTTTATGGAATAAATTTTTGAGTTTCTGGGGAGTTTGTTCAGCTTTTCAAGCCAATGCTCAAAATTTTTTGTTTGCTTGGGAGGAATTGGTACCTAATTCTAAAATTTGGTCTTTCATTCCGGGTGTGGTTCTATAGTCAATTTGGAAGTGGAGGAATGCCATTGTGTTCGATGAGAGGAGGTTAGATCAGATTGATCTATTTTTTATGGCAAGAAGTAGGTTGGAGGCTTGGTTCTTAAATAACTTCAAGGATGCATCTATTCCTAAGGACTTTCTTATTAGCGATCCATCACTTGGGGATAGTTGCTCTTATTCAAGCTCTCCTATTATCAAATTGTGTCCTAGTCACATCCTCCAAAGGTATTTATAAAGTTGAATGTGAATGCGGCAATGACTGCAGACTAGAGGAAAAGTGGTGTTGGAGGCATTCTTAGAGTTGAGGATGGCTCGATGGTGGGTTCTTTCAAAGAGACTGCTGGTCCAGGTCCTCCTATCTTGATAGAGCTTATGGCAATTAAGAAGGGCTTATCCTATTTTGCTTCGATTCAACAACATTTTAAGGAACGTTTAATCGTTGAATCTGACAGTAAATTAGTAGTGGATTGGGTTAAGAATAGAGAACGATGTCTCTTTGTCTACATTGATTTAGTGATTGATATTGGTGATAAGTTTAGAGGTTTGAATGGTATCATTAGATGGGTTGCTAGGTCAGCCAATGTTGAGGCTGACACTTTAGCAAATGATGGTATTGGATAGATACACTGTTCTGGTTGTATTAGGTTATCTTTTATGCTTTGGGTTGGTTTGTTGTAAAGGGAGTTTGTATGGTTGTTTTTAAGTCTTATGTAACTTGAGGTTATTAATGAAGTTTTAGGTACTCTTTTTCTCCTTCCGTTGATTAAGGAGCACTTTATGATCCATTAATCAAGAGGGTTTTAACGAGGCCTACCATTCCTATAAAAAAAGAAATAAAAGATAAATAGAAGTTTTTTTGGGGGGTGGGAATTGAACCAGGCAAAATGACATTACCATTTTTGCATCCCCAACAAATAAAAGTACAGATAACTATAACGTTCAACTAGATGAATCCAAGAAATCAAGAAAAATAATTAAAGGTTCAAGTTTTTTTGTATTGAGGGGTTTTGAGAGAATGGAAGGTTTACGACACATTGCAAATGATTTAGAAGTTAGTATTCCAGCATAATCATGAGTTATGGTCACATGTACCTCTATTCTGGTCATTGAGTCTTTTCTTCGATTTTTTTTTATAGAATATTAGGCCTCGTTAAAAACCCTCGACTTGCCCTCCATATTACAATAGTAACATGAAAGACAAAGGAAGAGGGAAAAGAGTGCCTACTACTTTTATTAATCAATATAATAATACACTGCCATCCCTTACATCATACTTTAAAAGCCTTAACCCTAATTACATAAGACTTAAACACCTCTTCCTGCTAAAACCTTAACACTGATTACATAAGACTGAAAACAAAATCCCTGCAGAAATATAAGGGAGTCTAGCACCCTAACACACTAAAAACAAAGCCTAATGATCATCATATACCATCCTTAGCTAGTCTATCCGCTTCCCAGTTAGTAGCTCTCAAGATTTGCCTTAACGTAATATCCTTCCCTTCCATTATAGAAACAATCTCCTTCACCAAGGATATAAACATAGGGGAGCTTAGTTCCAGATTCTTGATCCACTTTAAAGCATTACCTGAATCTGATTCTAAAATAATCCTCTTATTAAGACCAACACCTGAATCTGACAACATGTACAACCCCCTCTTTATCGCCAATAATTTTGCCATAATCGGAGGTCCCCCAACCTTATCAGAGAACCAATGAATCAACACACCTCTGTTGTCCCTTATGAGTCCACCTATACCACCTTTATTCCAACCACTCACCATCGCCCCATCAACATTAATCTTTATGAACCCGTCTGGAGGAGGAACCCAACAAGTAAGTTAGGATCCACTATTTTCTGTCTACCAACCGAATCAACAAGAGTTGTTAAGGGGTTAGCTCTTTGGTAAAAGGACCCCATCCTGAGAGCTACTCAACAATATGTCCGAGCCATATTGCACCACAATTTTCTGAAACAATGGCTTTACCAACAAACCATTGGCAAGAAACACATGCACAGATTCTGGCTTGGGAACACCTTGCAATTTTGCAGTAAATATTGTAGGGCACCTTTGTGAGGTTTAGATATACCATCTTCCGAAGATATTGAAAGCTTCGTGGGCTTAGCATTGCACAATGTCTCAACATCCTGAGCATACAAAAAATAATAAACACCAGTTTCCGAAATCGCAAAAACGTAGATCTCCTCGTTATCACATATGCTATCTATGAAGACAGCAGGGTGATCCATTGCTAAAACACAACTAGCGAACTGCTTTTTGCCATCTTCTGCTTTCCATACAGCTATATATCTTTCAGCAACAGCAGATGATAGGATAAATTTTCCATTTTCAGTAAATATCATGCACCGAATAGATCTCTATGAATTTAAAAACAACTGATTAACAAATGGAAAAAGGAAATAAGATTACAAGATTGACTATACATATCCACTTAACTGGATGACCACAAAAGGCACATAAACTTGAAAACACTTACAGGATGTCCCATGAATTTATGTATCTTTTTGTGATTAGAACAATCAAAAGTCTTCAACTGTGCAGCTGCAGTGACTAACCTCTTGCCATCTAAAAGAAGGGTTGGAATCCAAGTTATAGCATTAGCAAAATGAAACAAAAATCAAAACCAGGAAAAAATGATTTCAAACTAACACAAGCAAAGGAAGCTCCCATAAGCTATCTAATGTGTTATATGACACTTGATGTTTAGGAATATGCAAACAAGTTGGTTTTATGTGGCAGACTCCCATTATCATTCATTGGCCACTAGCATAGTAACATATGTCTGGTGTACCAAAGAATAAATAATTGCCTGGTAAAATAAATACCACCATCTAAGACAAAGTCCATATCAAGATGATTAATTCAGCATGAAGTACGTTTTGATAGAGTAGAAATCAAAGGCAGAGCACCAAGATGGCTGCTAACACCTACCTGATGAGACAGTCATACAGGATATGGACTTTGTTGAGGCTTTGAACTTCCCCAAAAGGTTTCCGGTCAATGAATCAATTTTGCAAACCATCCCATCACCCCAGCACTATAGAAACAAGAGCCATTCGTAGCAAATGCAATAGCACTGACACCCCTGTGAGATATTATGAGAGAAAATTAGCAGAGAAAACAATACTACGCATTAATAGATCTAAATGGCTAATGCATTCATCCAAAATAATCATAAGCTCATTACAGTACATTAGAATCTTGTTTAGTTCTTCCAGTATGCAAAATGCCTATTAAAAAGGACTGAGCTATTAAATTCCACAATTTCCTGGGATTCAAGGGAGTTGAAAATTTCAGATGTTTTCATTTTTGCATACGGTAGTAATTGAATTTCATATATTGTTCACAGTGACTTCACTTTATCGTGAATTTCCACTTCCACTTCAGATAATTGCTATATCATATTAGATGCATTGGGGTTCAAAGGTAAATTAGGGGACCAAAAATGACTTCAACAACATGTGCAACACCCAGGATGACGGTCACTAACTTTCCACTTCAACTGACCAGCAGACACATAAAGTGCTAAGACATCGCCACTTCCTGTTCCCAATACGAGCAGAGAACTTCCAAGTTTCCTTTTCTTCTGCAAAAATCAAGTGTTTTGGTTCAAAAGTTAGTTATCATAGAAGAAAAGGCATGTCATTAAAATTCTGCAAAATTGTTTTATAAACATAAAATGACGAACCTTTTTGTCAAAAGACAACCACTTAATACATTTGTAATCAATTGAAAGATGCCCTCTTTCTGCCTTAGCATATACGTTTGTTGCTTCGCTTGATACAATGTCTGCAAATTCGGTTTGAATTTGACCCTTCAAAGTGTCCCAAATCTAAAAAGACAAAAATATCTGATGCATAATTGTTCACGTTGAACCATAAAATGCAATCTCTAGTCCTCAAAATCATCATCAGTCAATTTCTCTTGAAATGATTTTAGCTACCTTAATACGACCATCTCCAGCACTAATAGAAAAGTAGTCCAATGAAGGACTAAATGCTGTCAAGATATCCCTGATGTTCGAGGAACCCATATCCTGACCTATCGAAAAAACACAAATTTCTCAATTCAAAGTTCAAAATAAAGAAAACCCAAAATCGCAAAGTTTTAGCTGAAGACAAAACCAAAGAGAAACATAAGGAATACCCAAATAAGAATTCAACTGAAAAATCCAATTCATGGATTAAAATTCAGTACATCCCCCCAATGGTTGTTCTTAAAGCTAAACTATCAATAATAAGCTTCAAAAAGGGTACAAAAAAGAACGAAGATAAACTCCCAATGGTATTTAAATGAGGCTCCAAGTTCTTTCAACAAAGAGCTTTATTTGTTATTCTATTAAGCTTAAAAGTGGGTTTCAAATACCCGTGGCCATTAAAGACCTCAATAGCGTGTAAAAAGAATTCACATCAATTGCAGAAGCAGTTGGCGGCGGTAAATAACAGTGCAAAGCGAAACAACAGATAACATAAACCATAACCCAAAATCTCATGACTCAAGTAGAAAGAATGTCCGAGCAAAGTCATAAACTTACCTTATTTAATTTCCTGGCTTGAAGGGGTCGAGAGACGGCTACGGTCAGGAACTGGAGGAGGAGGAGAGGCTTGCTTGGCGGCGGGGATGTTCGAAGAGATGTTTAATTTAAATAGCTTAATTTATACCCAAAATTTATTTGTATGTAACTTTAGGGTAAACTACATATTTGGTCACCCTTCTATTTTCGTATTTCTTTTTTGATCATCATCAACAACAACAATAAAACCCTATTCCCATATGCAATGGGATAAGGGGAGGTAGGGTAGTAGGCTGCCCCCAACGCCAGGTTGAGAGCAGCTTCAGTGGAAGACATCCAGCAGTCAGAAAATTAAAAAAATAAATATAAAATACAATGCATGTATAAATAAATAAATATATAGTTGAACAGTCTTTATATGCAGTCTACATATGCGCGTCTATAATGGGAAGTAATCCCTGCGTAAAAATCTCTGCATATAGACAGAAACGTAAGTCCAGGCTAAATTTAAAAAGAGGAAACATGAAGAGAATGATACACAATAGTCAACGATAGCAAATTACGAGAAGGAATAAAGTCAAATGGGTTACAACCTAAACTAAGGTTACACTACTCCGTTACCCTAGTTCTAAGCCTTCATAAATTCCAATGACAGAAACGTATAAAAAGTAAAAGTCATGTAAATTACTACAAAGACATTAAAAAGAAGACAAAAATGCTACATCCTATTTCTGTGACCCACACTACTCGGCTACCCGGGTCTTAAGTCTCCATACTTTCTTGTCAGAGGTCATGTCCTCGGTAAGGGCTAAATTCTTCAAATCAGATCTCAAGCAGTCTACCCACTTCCTCCTTGGTCGACCTCTCCTTCTAGCACCGTTGACTGTAATCGACTTTATCCTCCTGACCACATCTGACGGTTGTCGCCTAAGAACATGCCCAAACCATCGTAGTCTTCCCTCTCTCAACTTTTCGGATACAGGTACCACCCCCAAGGACATCCTAATTGCAGAGTTTGGTGTCATGTCCCACAGAGTCCTACCACATGTCCATCGAAGTATTCTCAATTCTGCGGCCTCCATCCTCCTTACGTAATATTTCTTGATTGCCCAACATTCTGATCCATACAATAGTGCTGGTCTAATTGTCATTCTATAAAATTTTCCCTTTAGTTTTAGAGGCACCTTATTATCACACAAAACTCCAGTAGCAGCCCTCCACTTTAGTCATCCCGCCTTTATACGGTGTGTAACGTCATCATCTACACCCCCATCTTTATGTATCATAGACCCTATGTACTTGAAACAATCCTTTGAGGGAAGAACGTGTCCTTCGATGCATACTTCTACATCTTCATCATTTTGATTCCCATTGAAATTTGAACATAAATACTCTGTCTTTTTAATATTGATCCTTAGACCTTTTTCTTCCAAAGCAGTCTTCCAGATAGCCACTCTACTCTTCAGCTCATTTTTTGTTTCAGCAACTAGGACAATGTCGTCAGGAAAAGCATACACCATGGAATACCGTCTGGTGTCGCACAATAGATGTCGTCCATAATCAAGGCGAAGATGTAAGGGCTAAGAGCCGACCCCTAGTAGAGTCCAATTTCCACCGGGAATGCCTCGGTGTAGCTAACTGTAGTCCTGACGTAAGTAGTAGATCTACAGTACATATCACGAATCGCCCGTATATAAGCAGTTGGGATCTGTCTCATTTCCAAGGTCTTCCAAATCGTATCAAGGGGTACGCTATCATACGCATTCTCAAGGTCAATGAACGCCATGTGAAGATCTCTATTTTTTCCCTATATTTCTCCATAAGCCGTCGAAGTAGATGAATCGCCTTCATGGTAGACTTGCCTGGCATAAAGCCAAATTGGATTTCTGAAAACCTAGTAACCTATCTCAACCTAGCCTCTATCACCCTTTCCCATAGCTTCATGGTATGACTGAGTAGTTTAATACCTCTGTAGTTACCACAACGTTGGGGATCTCCTTTGTTCTTATAGATTGGTATCACCGTAGACTCTATCCACTCCTCTGGCATCTTGGCAGTCTCTAAGATAATATTAAACATATTGGTTAACCACTTAACTCCCTCTTCTCCTAGGGTTAACCACACAGTGATAGGAATTTGATCTCGACCGACAACTTTGTCTCTCCCCATCTTTCTAAGGGCCATTTTGACTTACTCAATCCCAATCCTACTTGTAGGACAGTCATTGGTCGTAGTATGATGGTCGGCTGACCCATCAACAATACTATCTCTACAGGGAAAGGCACCGTTATTAAATAAGCCAAAGAAGTAACTACCCCAAACCCTCTTAATATCATGATCTTTCACTAAAAGAACACCATTGTTGTCCTTTATAAACCTAATGCTACCTAGATCCTTTTTCATATTCTCCTTGGATTTTGCAAGCCTGAAGATGTCGTTTTATCCTTCCTTTGTGTCTAATCTCTTGTACATTTCCTCGTATGCCTTATCATTTTCTTTAGCCACTATTTTCTTGGTTTCTTGCTTTGCCTCCTTGTATCTTTGTTTAGCTCTCGATCTTTTTTCGTCTTCATTGGATTGTAGAAACTCTTTGAAGCAAGTTTGCTTTGTCTTCACCTTAGTTTGGACTTCGTCGTTCCACCACCACGATTCTTTATGTTCCTTGACCTTCCCTGTCGACAACCCAAGGGTGTTTTTGCCCACCTCTCTGATGGAATTTGCCATATTTTTCCATAACATGTATGCATTATTTGAGTTTATAGTTCCAAAACCTGTATGAGACAAAAAACTTACTCCTAAAGTCATCAGATGTCGCTCCATGTAAGTTCTTCTAAAGGATCCTAGGATTACCTAGTTTAGCCCTCCTATGAGTGCTCCGCCCGTGGCGAACGCGGAACACTTAAACCAATAATCTATGTTGTGATGCACATGCCTCTTCTGAGAACACCTTACAGTCAATGCAAGCCCATCGATCCCGATTTCAAACCAAAATGTAGTCGATTTGGGTACAATGTCCCTCGCTATGGAACGTAATCAAGTTCACATCTCTCTTGTTAAAGAATGAGTTAGTGACCACCATATCGTGTGCAGTAGCAAATTCAAGCAACGAACGACCCCTCCTCGTTCCTACTACCAAAACCGAAACCTCCATGAACACTGTCATACCTGTCGATTTCACTACCTATATGGCCATTAAAGACTCCCCCTATGAAAACTCTTTGGTCCTCCGGAATGCTCCTAAGTACATCATCTAACGAATCCCAGAAGCAACATTTTTCCCCCTCTCCTAGGCTAACGTGTGGGGCGTACACTGAAAGGACATTTACCACTTCTGCTTCTATAATAACCTTAATCATCATGATCCTATCACGGTATCTACAAACTTCAACTACAATTTCCTTGAGCCTAGAGGATACCAAGATACCCACCCCATTTCTGGTGTTATCTACGCCTGAATACCACAACTTGTACCCGTTACACTCTCTGGCGCGAGCCCCTTTCCACCTAGTCTCTTGAATACATGCAAAATCTATTTTCCTATTACTTAGTACATCGGTCAGCACCAGCAGCCTAGCATTTAATGTGCCTACATTCAACGTACAAACTCTAAGTCTAGTCTCCTTGACACCACTCTGTCGAGCCCGCCCCCTATACGCCCTATGGGGTCTAAAAGAAGGACATGACCTCAGGTAATCATCTATATCCGAAGCTATGAAGATCTATGAAAAAGGAATCCAAAGAAGACAGAAGATGCACCAAAAAACGCTAGAGAATTGAGGGGTACTAAGAAGCCTAGTTGGTTACTTAATAGGATTTTAATTTATATAATACTATTGTTATTATTATTATTAAAATCATAGTGTTAAAAGGGGGAAAATATAATAATAGTGATCTTTATCTTCCCAAATAAAAAAATGATACTACTAATTAGAGACTTAAGCATTACACAATAACTAGTCTTAGGTTTATAAAGTACAATAAAATAATTAATTGAACACGCTATGAACAAAACACAATAAAATAACAAAACAATCTAAAAATAACAAAGGAAAAACACGAGAAAAATCCTAGATCTAAACCAGATCTACAGATAATAATAATAAAAAAAACAAAGAGAGCAAATAGCAAAGAGTGCAGAGAAGAACATATTGAGATTGAGATCGATGAAGCGATAGAGAACTGGAGATCTGATAGATCTCTAAGGCAATTAGACGCACAAAACTCTTCCACTAACAAAACGAAGGTGTAGAGACTCAAAGTGGACGACAAGGGTCTTTGACCAGAAAATATTTTGATCTTACTAACTTATCATGCAATGAGAAAAAAGAGAAAATCAACAAGCAAGCGAAATCTAGGCAGAAATAAAAAAAAAAGATCTAGAATGATCTTATACAAATCTGAAGAATAGTAAAATTAAGCTCTATATACAGAAAAAGAAAGCAGATCAAAGCTTTAAAACCTGACAAAAGACTAATGAAGGCAAGATTACGTGTGGAGAGTGAGATCTAAGTTTCCTGGTCGAAAACAACAAAAGGGAAACGAACACGTTGTTCTTCAAGTGCAAATGCAGCCTGTTTTGCAACAAAAAAGTAAGAAAGGTATAGTTAATCAGAAATAACAAAATAATAATAACGCTTAGCCTGTTTTAAAGACTCTTAATCATTTAACAATGAACATTCAAATATCTTGCAGTCACTGATGTTTGAATCCAGAATCTCTAGAGATAACAATCACTCATTTAACCACTCATGTCATTTGATTCATGTTTAACTATTCACCATGGTTATCAAAATCGGACCGGCCGGTTCAACCGTGAACCAGTTGCTTGTCCGGTCTGATTAACTTCAAAAACTAGTTTTGCAACGAACCGGCTGAAAACCGGCAAAACCTGTGTAAACCGCCGGTTCTATTTTTTTCTTTTTTAAAAAAATTAAACCAAACGTCGTCATTTGTTAAACGAGCCGAGTCGAACTCGAATATTGTTGAGCTCGACTCGAACTCGAAAACTTTAAAAGTAAGCTCAACTCGACTCAAAAAGTCGTGAGCTAAAAATTTTCAAGCTCAAATCGAACTCAAAATATAATATTGAAACTCGAACTCGAAAAGGCTCAAACTCAAAAAAGATTTAGAAGCTCGATTGAAGCCTGAAACTCGAGCTCGATTAAAGCGAAAGAATAGTTCGCTCTATGCTCACCAAAAGGCTCCATGATTTTGAATGCCAAATTACCTCTATTATTTATAGAAGTCAGTTAGGATGCTATTCTATGTTTCTTAGTCATGTGAGATTGTTTTGTTCTCCTATTTTTACTCTTTAGACTTTTGGGATGCTCTTCAATGTTTCTTAGCCATGTGAGATTGTTTTGTTCTCCTATTTTTGCTCTTCTATGCCATTTAGACGTTTTTCTGTAGTGTTGTATTTATTAATATTTCTTTGAATATTATGTAAAATTTTTAAAATTATTATTTTATATAATTCAGTTCAACCCGGTTGAACCACGATTAAACCAGTGAACCAGTACCTTCACCGGTTTAACGTCCGGTCCAATTTTAAAAACACTGCTATTCACTTAACGAAAATGATGATGTTACAAAGTATAATAATAATTTTATTCCTTTAAATTTATACATTGTATCAATTCAATTTTAATTTAAAATAATTTAATAAAATTCTCAATATTTTAAAATTTATGTATTTACTCTCTTCATAGAATATATTATTTAATCATAAATAATAAAATATTTAATTAAGTATTGTTAATAATAACAATAAGATAAAATACACATTTAAGATTTTGTTTATCATTTAAATGAGATAAAATAACAGATAAAGAATTCTCAAATTTAAATATTGATAATAAGTATATTTGTTCGAGTTTCTTGGTTAGATTTAAACTTTCATTGTATGGTCCTTATATAATCTTAAGTTACTAGTTTTGTTTCAATGATTATAGAAAATTTTCCTAATTATATGCTTAATTTACGACTGTGATTGTAAATATGAGATATTTTCTACTTTGAATAAAATTAGTTGCTTCTATAAAAAAATACTATAGTAAGTCAAATCCGGTTATTTTTTTGTATGTATCTATTCTCATTTCATGTCAATGGAAAAAGAGAAATAACTAAGCTCGTAATGAAATTATTTGACTCCACCGATTTTTTTCAACACTAGCTTTCTTCCTTCTCTTTCAACCAAACACACTGATTGTTTTTGGCTTCCACCGGGTATGTATGAACAAGCTATCCCCTCTCCCCCGTATATAATATTATCACCCCTCACCCATCCCATCAAACCAACAATACACCAATAATACACTGTACCACTTAGCTACCATTCATTCACAGGTGCATGCTTTCATTCACGGGCAGCACCATTTATTGTTTCAGAGATGCCTATTGAAGACGTATGGAAATCTTGTAGTCTTCACCTTGAAGACGTGTAGAAATCCTAGGGTCTTCAAATTTCTCATGCAGGTTGAAGATGTGTAGAAAACATGGAGAGTTAGGCTTGAAGACGTGTAGAAAGCTTGAAGTTTTCTCCAAGTCACATGTATTGCTATGTGTCTTTAAAAATTACTGTAGAATATGAACAATGGGTTGGATTATTTGAGGAAATAATTATTCCAAAAGCATTATTCCAGCACTTTTACTGATTAAAGCTTTATATTGTATTTTTTAATATATTATTTTTTTCAAATTTATGAAAAAACAAATAAACTCTTACTGTACGCTTGCCAGACATAACATATATGCATCCAGTAGACGCCTGATTCCGAATAACCTTGATCTCTTCAATCTTCAAATGTATTCGATTAGTTCGTGTATGATTTGCTATAAAGTTTATAAAATTATTGAATAAAACAAACGAATCGACAACCTCTCCATGTTTGTCGAAAATAAGCCAAAGCCCATGGTGGTGATTGGTGAAGCTCTGGAAGGTTGAAGACAATCAACCATAAACAATTTCCAATTGCATACTGTCTCGCCTGATTCGCCATTAAAGACCTTCAAGCAAAAGGTTTGTATCTTACTGCCCTCTTTACGAGATTGGTTCATCCATATCAAATGGAACGTTAAACCAATCTTCTTCCACGCCATAGATTTCCACGACCCAAAATTCATATAATGAATGTCAATAAAACCTTATACAAATATTTCCCCAAGCCTAACACGATACACAATATACCGACTACTAACACCCAAGACGACACACTAAAACACACCTAATAAAACTCGGTCAAGACACATAGAGTTCCCCAAGCACTAACACGATACACAATATACCAAATCCCATCATAATTGATAAACTCCATACAGATACGAACCACCTCGAAACAAGAAAACACTATAAATTGGGAGGACACTCACGCCCAAAACAAGAAAACAGACAGCATACAAAGGAGACATCCATTTCAAACAAATCGACTCATTGTCATACAAATCAAATCAAAGAACCAAATCAAAGCAATCAACACTCAAATCAGACATCCATTTTATCTCTGCAGCCCATAGGATCACAATAAATCATATCCAACAAATATAATAAGATACTTACACTACAACACATGGATTGAACTTGTTCTTCCAGTTTCTACGATAACACATATAGGATGACAAAGACAATTCCAATCAACAATCGTTAGAAGATTGTGGGCAGCAAGACTACCCAAGGCTGAAAACCAACATATGTTTCATCGAACTTGGTTTAAGCTCCTCCTCCTTGACCTTCATGAAAGTACAAATTGACCCTAGAAACATCACAAAGAGTATATTCTGAATCTAAAACCTCATACTCAAGCAGAATATCAATACAAGTTCCACCATAGAGACACCAAGGCCAACATTGGATAAAAACCAACATTAAGAATGACGATTAAAAGCTTCGAATACACACATCAACCACTTAACTATAGACCTTCCAACCTTCAAATATGTATGATTAATTAATAATTAATTTACGATGAAATTTATAAAATTATCGAACAGAACAAACAAAACATAAAAACATATAATAGAATTATATATTTATATGAACACAAATGTTCTAACATCTAAAGAGAAACTAGGCTCTCCACGTATGAAAAACCATAAATAAGCTTCTCCTCGGCATAATTCACCCTTCTATGAGTCTTATCTCGATGATTATATATGAACAAACACCCATTGCTTATGATCAAAGCTTCTTCACTCCTCGGAAAATCGAGCACGAAGGGTATGCTCCGATAAATGAATTTCAAAACAGTCCTTTTCCACGAATTTTCCTTGCCATGGATTTCCATGACCAAAAATTCATAAGATGTTTCATGATTATACCCAATACAAAGATTTCCTCCCAATGAAAGCAAATGAAGCCATACATAATCATCTTGGGGAATTGGTGTCGTGATCCTCGAGAATTCTTGCTTCGATAGGTCAAAAGCAGTGATGCTCACAACCGATTCCGACCCGTACAAAGTAATCCAATGGATAACTCCATTAACGTGTACACCACCACCTATGATTTCTGAATCATGAGGGAAATCCCCAATGGGACTCCATGCACAGTATTTTAAAGAGTAAACTTCTACCATGGTACGGTCAATTATCACTACGACCTTATGATCATCGTGCAAGGCATCGTATCCAAACCCACCTAATAATGGCTGTGGTTTGGGCTTATTTTTGGGACCATGACTGCACAGAATTATATTGGTTTGTCTGGTTGATGGATTAACCAACGCTATGTTCCGTGGATAAACATAAACACACAACAAGCCATTGCATGAATCCCATACATGCATAGTCCAACCATTATCTATGATTTTCAGGCCGAACGATGAATCCACCTCCACCAGCTTCACTTCGTTTCCACTAAACAAACGCCCGTAATCCAACTCGAAACGACGAGGACGCAAGACGCATATGCCTGTCTCTGACTCAATAGATTGGCTTATATCCATCACACATCTTCCTCTCTTGGACTCAATAGATTGGTTTAGTTGCATCTTCACAAACCGAGTATCGGAGATTAGGTTGCACCATACCTTCGACGTGCACTTGAACCGGCAGAGAGATTTAACCGGCAGTCTTGAAAGAATCCCCACAACCACATCTTCAGGGACTTGTTTCATAGTCTTTGATTGACATCCAGGTGCTGCTGCTCCGGCTTGTTTTCCTTTTGGGTTCATATCGGCGGCCGTCTCCCAGATTCACACATTAAACCCTAAAACTTCTACAAGCCTGTACTTATAGAATATTAAACATTTAGGGTAAACTATACCAGTAACCAGCGAACTATATCTCTTTTTCATTTTAACCACCATTTTTGATTTTTTATCAATCAGGCATCCAACTATTTAAACGCATTAAATCATGCCATCGAACGTTTTAATCTTAATCATTGATGTAAATGATTTAGATCACTGGATGAGAGGAGACTCAATTATTAATGGATAGGGGTGAGCAAAACTTGACTCGATACGAAAAATTGATTTTTTTCTACTCGACTCGATTCGAAAAAACCCGACTTGACTAAAAAAATTCAAGTTCAAATCGAGTTGTAAAATACAACTCGAATAACTCAAAAATTTTAGTAATTAGTGGATGAATTTTTAAGTTTGAGTCGAGTCCCTCAATTCTGTATAATATATGTATATCACAAATGAAAGAAATATACATGTATTGTTTTTTTATCAAAAATTAAATATGAATGTATTGTACATGATCATAAAAATAATTTAAATTGAAATCAAATAATATCATAATATTATAAATATTGATAATTAAATTTGAACACAAAATCGAAAATTCAATTCAACTCAAAAAAATTTCAAGTAAACTCCGAGTTATAAAATATGACTCGTCAATTCGAATAACTCAAAAATTTTTAACTTTACTTAATCTAACGCTCACCCCTATATATAGAGACGTTTTGGATATCAGTAAGGATACACAAAAATTAAAGGAGTTTTCTTCTTCACTCCAAAATAGTAAAAGCTAGCATTTGCTATATATTTCTCTTGCTCTTTTCTTTTCTTTTGATTTCTCTCGTATTATAGAATCCCTCAATCGACTCGTGAAGTTCATTAGTCAGAGGATTAGGAAGTTCAATTTTTTGGGATCTTTGATACATTTGTTAACCCATATTATTATATTTATTATATTATTAGTAAATATTTTTAAAATAATTATTATGTTTAAAACATTTATGATATTTACTTTAATTAATAGACACTATGATATTATTTTTATTATGATTTATTTATTATTATATTTTTAAATAAAATAATATTATAAAAATAAAAACAGAATTACAACCCCAAACTGCATGTTCCTCTAGCATCTAAATTTAATAGGGAAAGGAGACTAGCCGGATGTTCCTCTAAAGTATAATACTATAATTTATATTTTATATGGTATGTATTTTAAATATATTACATGATTTATATGGAAATATTAACTAATATAGTCTTTATGTATATAATATTTGTATTATCTCATATTATGTATAATTTTACTTAGTAGTATATATTTATTATCTTATAAAGCTTTTTTAGAATCAAGACTAAGTTATTACATTTTGAAAAACCCTAAAAATGTAATTTTCACTCATTCGTGTGTCACTATCTCTTTTCTTTTTCATCTTTGTTGATCGACGACGGCACCAACTTTAATGTTGGTTGCCGACCTCCGGTTCTTTATTTTCTTTTTCTTTTCTATATCATACTTTATTTTATTTTTTATTTTCAATAAGTTTGCATGCATTGCACGTTTTTATCTGTCTTTATGACACATTTTCTTATTCCTTTTGGTATTTTTTTGGTTCTTTGTCCGTTTTTATTTATCTCTTTTTCTAAGGGTTGATTTGACATCGCCACGATTGATCAATATGACGATTATCTAATATCTTGTGATCTTCCCTGCTTTGGACCTTCATATTGGATTTGGATACCCGATTTGCATTCATGGATAGGCTTTTCACGTGACTCGAGTCTATTTTGTTGTTTGTCGGTGGTCTTTCAATAGCTTGATCCCCTTTTATGGTTCATTTATCGATGCAATCAGATCTGTTTATATCTATCTTTGTTCAAGTTTCTTGGTTAGATTTAATTTTTCCTTGTATGATCATCGTGTGATCTTAAGTTACTAGTTTTGTTTCAATCATTATAGAAATTTTTCCTAATCATGTGCTTAATTTATGATTGTGATTGTAAATCTTTATTGTAATTTGAGATACTTTCTATTTTGAATAAAATTAGTTGCTTATATAAAAAAATATATTATCTTATAGGATATATTTTGTAATGTATATATTATTTATAAGTGCAAATGATATTCTTTTTATGATTAAAAGGATCACATTTTAGATCTAGGTTTGAATCCGTAAATTTCACTATCAATATAACTTGCAAATGGTTTAATATTGATTTTAGGCATTGTGAAAACACCCATTGTGAAAGTGTTTATCTTTCAACATGCATAATTCACTCGTAAATCATTCAAAATGAATCTTTGGTAAGGTGTATATATGATGAAAGTAATGTTTAGGTATCCAACACTACCTAATCAAAAGATCGAAAATGACAAAAAATAAATTATTTCACTTAAATTGAAATTCAATTCAGACTTAAAGCACTGTTCCGATACTAATATTGTTAAACAACGTGAAGAAAGGTCCATTGTCCGAATAAAAAAATCAATGAAAGGGGAAAAAGAAGACCCAATTTCCGAGGGGCCCCTAAGAGTTCGGAATTTTGCATGAAATGGTAGTATTGGATGTGCAGCCCTATATTGTTGCCTCATTTTACTCCCTTGCCCTAATCATAAGGGATAGGTTGACGAGATGGGTGGACAGTCGCCCCTCTAAAAATTTAAAATTATTATATATTTTATAATTTTTGTATATTTTTTATTGAAAATTTGTTTTCATTCCTCTAGAGTTTTATAAGTTAAAGTTTGCCAATCCCAGAATTTTATAAATTCAAATTTCCCTCCCAACTTAAAATCCCATGTCCCGTCTCTGCTTACCATCGTACTCCATTACTCCAACGAGCCCCGTTTATTTCCTGTCCTATATCCAGCATGTTCTACCTATAAAATATAAATATGCTCATTATTGTAGCAGATGATGCTAAAACTTTGGAAATTTTACTGTGTTTTACTACTATTCTTGCTCCTCTATGAAGATGTGTGATGATAGTCTTTATTCAATTCAGGCATGACCCTAGCATGTCAGATTATATGGTTGCATGATCATGATGGCAGTACTCTCACCATACATGTGTGGGAGAGGTATTTTGGACTTTGAATTGTTAGAATCAAATTATATCAAATACAATTTTTCTTTTAATTTATCGGACCGATTCAAATGTGAGTTTTTAACTTAAATTTAGGTCAGGTTTCGGGTCATATGAAACTTTTTGAACTTGAATCGAATTCAAGTGGAGGGAATATACTGGTCAGGTCGAATTGAATTAATTGAAAATCCGACTCGTTGTCCTCCATGAAACGAAGATAACCTCATAATAGATATTTTAGGGGGTTTGTAATTAAAGCTATATTATGTACTATCATAATAATTAATCAAAAGATTAACCAAAAAAGGAGATGTAATGACGGAGGACAATCAAACACACGGTAAGAGCTAAGTTAGTGAAGGCTGATGTTGTCTGCATTTCCCCTCACAGGTTCTATAAATACAGCCTGCTTTTGGCTACACTCACCAACATCACCATTGAGTTTCATTTCATTATCTTTCTAGTATAGAAGAAACTGTGAAGCTCAGGAGGGATAGCGCCATGAATGACATGTATTATGGTTCTCATTAGCGCTATCCATCCTGAGTTTCATCGCTTCTTCTTGCTCTTGCTCTTTGAGTAGAAAAAAAATGTTATGTGATTGAAGGAGAATGGTGAAGTGAACAGGGGGCTTTGATTTACTCTATTCTGGTTGGTTTTCTGTTTCCTTTTTTTCATATGATTTTATTGTTGTTTGCTGCTAACAATTCTATTTCTAACATCTAATCATCATGTGTTTGTGATGGAATTTTTATTCATGTGTTTCCTCATATTTGTGAATTGATTTAAACATTTAAATTTACATCTTATATATTATAATAACAATTATACCAACTAATAAGTCATTATCTTGTCTATTCCTTCTTAATTTAGTTGATATAGTTATTATTATAATATGTAAAATATAAATTTAAATATTTCCATGTAATTCTTTAGAATAAATAAGTTTAGGGATGGATGGTTTGAAAGGTTCATCGTAACCGTATCTTTTTTAATGACACATGTTTTATGCCCACTACAACTATTGTTGTTGGAAACAAATGAATTACGGTGACTATAGACAATTCATCCTTTTTTACTTGAGAAAAGAACCCACCATCGGTAGTGGATCGACTTTTCAAACGATAATAATGACGATGAAAGTGATATATAGAGAGTGTACATATTAAGATCTGATGAGAAGAATACCCTTTTTCACCTGTCATAGGGGTTTGTATATTGTATTTTAGTGCTTGTGTTAGTGTAAAACCATGATAACTTAGACTGATAAAAATAGGTAAATCTAACTGATATGATCGGTTGTCAATTAATTTTAACTATAACAATCATGTGAAACCTACCAAAAGTTTCGATAATAAATGAATCTCTTTTCTTTATCATATCATTAACCAAACAATTATCCCCAAAAGTACCAAACCAATAGAAAAATAAAACAAAAATGCCATAGAGCAAAAATCGAAGAAAGATAATAACTTACAACATAGGTAACATATATAAACAGGGTCAATGTTCAAAAGAGACCTTGGATTGATGGACCTCTTTAAGAGATTTTTAACTCATGAGTTACCGACAACAAATTCAACAATAGACTCCAACATTACAAATTTATCTTCCGAAGTCTCCAAAGTATGTCACATGCACAATTAATTATACAAACAACATATAGTACACAAATGATCTTTCGACTATAAGAAGTTGCTTTATTGAGTTTTCTGACTATTAAAAGCTATTACATGATCCATAGACTATATGACGTTACTTTGTTGAGACCCTTGATAAAAGGATCGATCCATCGAGGAAAAGGATCGATCCCTTTAGTATAACAGTTGAAATATTTGAAAAACGATCGATCCCTTTGGTAAAAGGATCAATCCTTCGTGCCTTAAAAGTTG